TCTAACATAATTAATAATAAGGCAGGGATTTATGTGTTTCTAGTATTTAACCATTATTTTAGGCAGTACTTTCCATATTCCATTTTTACAAACAGTTATCTCAATGTTCCATGTGTATGGCTTGTATTTAACCAATGTGAAACGCATTCTTTTGCGAGAAAATACAACATTAAATTACTCTTTCCCTATTTTAATGCGTATACATAATTCATTTCGAATATATTTATTGCATAAGAAATATTAGTGGATGATGATCGTTCACAAAAGATATTTATAAGTATTGGGATGGCGCTGGCCATTAAAAGTGCAACACCATGAAGAAAAGCAAATGCAAAAAAGATATTTATTGCACGTAAACAGTATGGCATGAAGACAAAATGATTAAATTTGTAAGCATTTTGGAGGTTTACATAGGCGCGAAATTAATAAAAACACCTGCTACTACTGGCAGCTAAAACGACCCTTACCCCATCAGGCATGGAGGCAAACTGGGCTTGGATGACAGAAATGGGTAACTCATTCCATGCTGGTTCAAGTCTATGCCACACTTCATTAACTAATAGCTGGAGAGGGGTGGCGGACCAGACTCCCAGCAATCTACGACCCGATGTTTTCAATGGGTGACAGATCTGGAGACCGTGCAGACCAGGGCAGCAGTCCCTGTGTATCGAGGAAAGTCAGAACACGACGCGCAACATGTGGTTTTGCATTATCTTGTTGGAAGATGGCTTTTTGGCAGTCCTCGAAGATAAGGCACAACCACTGGACGTAAGCTGTCAGAAATGTACCCATCTGCGTTCAAATCACCGTCGATTCGAACTAGAGATGTGCGAGTTGTGTAACCAATGACTGCCCGAACCATCACAACAGGTGCAACGCCCCTATGCCGATATCAAATGCAAGCAGGCGGCGTGCGATCTCCTTGGACACTCCAGTCACGTATACGACCATCAGAATACTGCACGTATAACCGGGACTCGTTTGAAAAGGCGACATTATGCCACTCCTGTACCCAGATTTGTCGTTTGGCGCACCAGTGTCACCGTCTCTCTCTATGCGGCATTATCAAGGGAAGTCGAAGTAATGATCACCCTGATGATAGTCCACGCTGCTGCAAACGTCGAGGCACCTTACGAGCTGATACTGGGCGTGCTGCAAATCTGCCCATTTTCTGACTAATGGTCCGTGATGTGGACCAATGCGACCGGCGATATCACGGAACGATAATGTACACTTTTGATAGGCAACGATTCTGCCTCTATCGAATTTCGAAACTTGCTAGTAGCATTTCCTCTTCTTATTAGAGGCATAACACGATATTCTGAGTAAACTCTAACGTTACGAAGCACTTTCGGAATGAGAAACCATTACACAGCTTTTCTGTTGTGCAGTGCTTCAGATGTCGTTTCTTCCTCCTGCGTCGTTTATATGCGCTGAAATATTAATTATTTGCATATCCCAACTTCTTCCTTTCATGTGATTTTTGACGTTCGTCAGAGCATTCCTTCCTGGTGTTGCAATTTTAATGGTCAGCAGTGTATTTGGCTTCTACACAGGGGAAAAAATACTTCTACGAAAAAGGGAGGAAACAAAGATGATTCACAGTTTTTGTACATAAGTTTCAAATGCCTTTTTCATTTCGTAATTGGGGCCCACCAGCGGCCGAGTGGTAAAGTCGCTGAACACTAGTAGTTTGGTCCGAGGTTCGAATCCCGCGAACGGGCTGGCAGCATAAGCGTTTTCGTGGATTTCCCCATGTGTAACGTGTATACGAGCCAGTTTCTCTTAGAAAGTCTTCCCCGAAGGCATTCCTCCCCTTAGGCAGATAGCCCTCGAGGCTTTGCCATAATCTCACACACACACATTTCGTAATTGGCTACTGCTACTCTTTCTACAAGGATGTACCTTAAGTAAAAGACTTTATAAATTACGTACAATCATTTTAAATAATTCTTTCCGTGATAACGTACATCTAAAGCTATATAAATACAAAATAACATCCTTTAGTATTAAACATAACGCAATTTGAAGAATAATAGGTTCAATATTATTAAAAACAATGATAGGTTCAATATTATTAAAAAGTTCAACTACTGAAAGAAGTTTTTTTCATTATTCGTTTCATTCTATCAGAAAAAATTTGAAATCATTTTAAAATGTGATACTCTTTAATGATTGTAATATTAGGTAAAATATATTCACCTTCAGTTAAATTAGCTTGTTAAAACAAAAATTTTGATGTCTGTTAACTTATTATTCTTTTCAAATTTATGTTTTAAAGTGGAATAAAGTTATAATTATTTTTTCCTTATAGATGGTTCGCAAGTCCTGCTTACTTTGTTGAAAACTGAGCTACAATACATCTGCTTCTTATACCTCATCATTTGAATTTCCTCCAAATAGGGACAGAAGAGCTTTGTTGATCAGAAGTATGAATCGAAAGTTTTATGTACCTAGTTTATTATTAGACCTCAAATAATTTTTTTTTCATTTTCTACGTTTTTTTATTACTTTTGTGCAACAAATTCAGGTATAAAAAAAAGAAAGCTTTCTGCAACTTACCAAAAATTGATTCTGAATTGATTCCTAGATCGTAATATATACATGGGTTTGGTATGGTTTGGTTTCTTTGATTATGGCAAAGCACTCGAGGGCTATCTTCCTGAAAGGAGGAATGCCTTCGTGGAGGTCTTTCTAAGGCAAACTGGCTCGTATCCATATTACACACGAGGAACGTCACGAAAAAGTCCATTCAGCCCTACAAACTAAACTCAGGTACTTGCCTAAAACTAAACTCAGGTCGAACTACCAAATTTCATAGATTTTATCGCTGAACCGTTGGTGGGCACAATATATGCATTGGACTCTGAACTGAAGTATGGGCACAAGTTTAGAAGTTTCATTAATGATCATACCGTTGATACATTTCTTTCATCAGTATTACTTCTATACCTTTTATAAAATTTCCTGGCAAGAGAAGAATGCTGATGTCAATAACGCAAGAATCATTTAAAAATGCGTACCTATAAAATACTAATAACAACATGATAAACTGAAAGTTGCGCTGCAGCATGTGCTTAAAATTGTTACTGAGGAGAGAATTTAAAAAAATTCATGTAACTTCCAGATTTACTGTATTTAAGTCTTTCTGAAATAAAATTAAATTATTTCATAGAATTAATTATATAATCCGTACTACTTTATTTTAATTTATTCAAGAGTGACAATAAAATTAAAGCACGCAGATATTTTTTAGCAATTTCCAAAATCATTAAAAGAAAAAAAATCATAAAACAAATTAAAAGAGTTACTTTTGTATAGGGAGAGAAAAATATTTTTAGACAATTTTAGAAATTTCATACGTCAGACAACTACGGCTTCCTTGAGCTAAAAAAATGAAGACTTAAATTGCCTCCATTTCATTGTTTTCGTAAAATCCACAAAAAGTTAAAAATGCTCGTAAAAAGAATAAATCTTTTCAATAGTTAGAAAACTAACATCAAAGTATTAAAGATTAAGCACTCTCTAAATAGGACTCTTAATACGCTTCAGTAAAACCATTGCATTTAGCTAACATTCAGAAAAACGGGACTTCTATCTAAATTATTTAAAAATTAATTTAACAGAGACGATCATTATGCAGAAAGGAATTCGGCGACGCCTGCCGATGGTTGGTTTATATAATCGAGGAATTAACCTACAGATTCATAATGTCTTAGACAGATAGGTTCCGTTATATAATAGCAATTAATTTTTCCTTAGCTCAGTCTTTATATTTATGATATATTTATATAATTAATTTATTAAATATTTATATATAGCTATATTTATATAATTAATTTATTAATACTGTATAATGATATCAACCACCTGCTATTTTTATGAAACTATAAAACATCTATTAATTTGTTTGCTGATGTTGAAAAAAAATGTTCACATCTAGTTTCAAATCTTCATTGAATACCAAATAACGTTAAATTATCTTTTCAGTTTTAATAAAATGAGATATAAAGTCCATCACAATGCGTAAATAAATTCAAATGATATAAATTTGGTATTAAAAATTATTTGGTATTTACGTATTATCCCGTTGACCATGGTTTTGTTTGGTTCATTTTAATACCGCATTGCACTCGAGGGATATTTGCCTAAGGGAAGGGATGCCTTCTAAGAGGACGTTTTACGGGATACTGGCTCATATACACGTTACACATCTGGAAAGCCACGAAAACGCCCAAATGCAGCCAGTCTGTTCGCGGGATTCAAACCGGCGACCGAACTGCTAAAGGGTTCACTGACTTTACCGCTCGGGACCCCGTTGAGCATGAAATTATCACCAAGCAGCGCGATTTAGCACCAGTTTTGGATAAGCGTGATGTTAGAACGCACAACACCTGCACCTTCGTTAAATGTAAATCTGACTAAATAAGCCACTTTTAGTTTATATGAATAAATATATAAATTAACAGTTATTGCTGTATTTTCCCCTGTATTCTGAAAAAAGGATTATAATTTGAAATGTGTGTTCTACAGAACAGCAAGCAGTGGATTAGTTTTAAAATTATGGGTCCTACCAGAGACAAAAATGTGTATATGTGTATAAAAAATGTTTAATGGATAGGATATTTGTTTTTACCAATGGCGAGCCGTCAGCCGACTTCGGCTTGGCCACGTCTAAGGACAGAAGTGGTGGTAACCAATTATAGAGGCACCTAATGGGTATCATCAGGTGAATATGGCCTTCAATTAATATGTTAGAACAGATACATCATAGTAACTTGTGCTCGTAGCGTTCTAAACAGAGCGTTTGACAAAAGCATTTTTACTAAGAGCAAAAAGAAAGTGAATCGAAAGATTATTTATTAAGTAAAGAGGCCTCATTTCTTTCAATAGGAACGATTGGAGCAATTTTGGCGGGATCTCTGCCAACTTTTGTAGTTGGATGATGACCAACTTTCACTATCGACGGATTAATAAGTAAGTACTAATTATTTTATTACCTCTGAGAAAGTTCCAGGGGTTGTAAGCAGCTTCCCGACTGCAACAAAAGGAATACATAATACGGAAGAGGCTGCCAATGCCATTCCAAAGAGATTGGCCCACATCGGGTACTGGTATTCTTCATAACTAAGTGGCTCATAACTAGTAAGCCCATATACTATTATCAACTGAAAAAAAAAATGAAGACTTAAAAACTACTGGACTTTAGTTTGTATTTGTTAATCAAAGTCCTAGATAAAAAAAATGTAATGACATGCAAAATATGTGACAGTAAGAGCATATTTTAATACTACTAATTTCATAAATATTAGTAACAATTGCTACAAAAAAAAGCACCAAATTGTTACTATAATATACACTAAATTTGTCTCTATACGACTTCTTTTAGAGACAATGTGTATATTTTAGTAATACGTTTATAAGCAATGAATATACAGTTACGATCTAGAAATAAAACAATGATATGTTATTGCATGAAGTAAAAATTTATGAGGCCGCATAAGTAAGTAAAGCAGTAATGCATAATGGAACGGAACATATTGTTAAAGAAGCGTAACACTCTGTGAAAATCAAGGAGAGGAAAATTAGACTATGAATGTTGTTTAATATAGTTCTAATGCTGTAATTCAAAATTTTAGCAACGGAAATGCAAATAGTTCAGATTGGTACATTAGTTTTACCTACAAAAATATTAATAAAATAATGCTTTCAAAGGGAGGCTTTTTAAGCGTAGAATTTCACCTCCGCACTTCCGTAGCATTAATAACATGCTTTGTGTATCAGTTTTAAATTTGATGTATATATAAATTAATTGTTCCCACTTAGCGTATTATATTGGATATGCTCATTACATTTATACTTATATACTCAAATGTCCACTAAATTTTCATGCGAGAATTAATTTTTGGAAACTAAAAAAGAATGCCAGTTTTAGTTGCTCTCTATAATCTTCTGTTTAAAAAACATAGAATGTGCTTACATGGATCATGACTCGCTTAAGCAATATAGCTACTTTCAGCAAGAGTAATCGTACTCACCATTATAAAAAGAGGAGCCATTAGGACCCAGCAGAATTTCCACCACTTTCCTACCTCAAAACCCAGCATTTCTTTTATGTCCGCTGAAAAGCGACCAATTCCTGAAAAATCACGGAAAACGTTTTTGACTGATCACGCAAAGATAATATAACGCAAAGATATTTAATATGACTGATCACGCAAAGATAATATAATCTAAGTGTATATATATATATATATATATGTGTGTGTGTGTGTGTGTGTGTGTGTAATGAAATATTTTTATATATTTAACAGCACGAACGGATTTCTTGCATTAGAAGGGTGTTTCTTATAATGCGTTCTTTTGTTTTTCAGAATGCAAATTTTCATTCTTAGGACTGCGTGTCAGAAATCTGTTTTTCTTTCCTGTGGCTCTTTTGTGCATTACAAAAGATTCAAACATGCATTCTATTTTCAAGGTGAATAATATACTTGACAAACGTTCATACTACGAATTTACATTACTTTTGAATAGTTTTCAGATTTTGATGATTAGATGTTGGAAGACACTGATTTTTCATTCTTCCACTCTTTCTTATTTTCCCATGTATAAGTATATATTCTCTTGATTCAGCAGACACGCCACGCTGTTTTTGAAAAATTCTTGATATTTTCAATTCCATTTTATTTAAACATTTTTTTGTTCTTCGTTGCAATCAATAAAAGTAAAGATTCTATTGTATCTGTAAGTATTTACAGATCATAAATAAGACTTCCTATTTTCGAACTGAAGACAAGTGTTACCATTAATCATTCGCCAAAATGTTTGGTTACTCTCTTTTACATATAGGGCAGAATATACTACACATGCTTACTTTCAGTATGAAGTGGACTGTGCCTAGTTTTTCTATTATCAAGAGAACTACTTACTAAGTAGTATTTACTAGATCAATTTATTTATTATGCTAAAACACGTGTTACCTAGATGCCTTAAAAGAAATGCTTTCATGGAGTACTTTTTAAGCGAAATTACTTCCTTAAAATTGCATTGTTCAGCACCTGCGCCCGGCAATCGAACAACAGAATATCCAGGTTTACTGTGGCCAGACAACGTCATAAAGGTGGCCTATTGCCCTGGCATCCTGAAAGCTGCATACCAGCCCAACGGCGATATCATTTACCAGTGGTGTAAAGAATATAAAGACTGGACACCTCATCAGTAGAGTCACGGTCTCTCTACCAATGAGAGTCGTTTCACTCTGACAAAAGATTCTTGCCGCTATTTAAATTTTCTCCCACCAACATCAGGGAAAGAGTTCGTTGGGCGTTCTTCTATGGGAAAGTATGCTGATGAACTGAAGGATGGAGCTCCACATTTTCTACAGAGGTTCATTTACCACAGGTCGTTACCTGTGATGAATGAATCCTCCCCCACGAGCATCTTTTATGGGATGCCCTTGGTCCCGATTTTATCAATCAAGTACCTTTCATCACTGAATGCATGGTCGCATATTAAGTGGATATGCACTGCAGAGTATTTTTCCATATATCCGCCCTCTTTCGTAACGCAAAAACAGATAATGATGTCCGACTTCTTTTCATTTTTATAAAATCCATACAAAATCGCTATCGATAATGCATGAGCCATGAACCTGGGGATATAACCTCAAATATCAAGCAGATCTTTGTTCGACTCAGTAAACATAAAACCCTTTGAAGATACCTAAACGTAGGTCTGGAAATGAAGTGGATAATAGAGGAGGAGTTTAAAGGATAAGATCACTGACTCCTAGCCAGATGTTATTCAAATGGTTCAAGACAGCTCCAGAGTCACTATAAGCTACAGCCAACGAATTTAACTGTCATTTGGATGTCATTCAGATGGAAAGCCATGCGACAACTTGGAAACAAACAAAATATGTGAAAACATACACATTAAGAAAGCAGAAATAAAATGAATAATGATGATGCATGGAAAACCTATACGCCTGAAAGCGCCGTATGTTTTTGCGTTGCGAAAAAAGACATGCATCAAATCAAGACGAGTCTAAAGAACTCAATGCATAATCATATGTTTATGACGAAAACTATTATTTCGGTGCACTTTATCCCGTTTTAAAGCATGATCCATCAGCGGACGAACGGTAAAGTCGCTGAACAATAATAGTTTGACCTAGGCTCGATTACAAACGTACGGGCTAGCTGCATGGGTGTTTTAGTGGTTTTCCCTATGGGTAACTGGACATGAGCCAGTTTCTCTTAGAAAGTCTTTCACGAAGGCATATCGTGTCGTCACCCATCGTGTGCTTTGCCATATTCAAATAGATCAGATCCATTCATCAGTTTTGAACCACTTTGTACAGTCATTGACTAACAACTGACTAACAATTTTTGAATAACTTATTCATATCAGTGCGTTATCTTAGGAAAACGACCATCTCTGAGGCAACCGTCTACTGCATATTAAAACTTAATCATCGGTCTAAAAAATTTTCCAATGTAAATTTAGATTACGGCATTTGCTGAATCTAAACCATTAAAAAATTTTTGAAACCATTATTAAAACTTTAAGCGTTAACTTGCTTCTGCGAAAAGTCTTTGGCGGTTATTAGATACGGTACTCTGTGTTCAGCGAAGGAGCATTTAGTTGAACAGTTAATGATGGTAATAAATTCTGTTCTGAAAGTGTTATCAACGTTAAATCAGTTCATAAATACCATTTCTATAAGGAAACAAAAAGGATGTTCGGTCCAATGAATATACTGAATTTTTTGTTTGAAGATGAATAGATCATCCAAGACAGTTGCTTTATTTGTATTTTTCAACCGTGCTACTTAACTGGATGTACAGAAGCCATTTATCCTATTTTGCACATGGGTCTTGGCTTAGTAATTTTTAATAGGAAATTCTTAGTTTAAAAAATCTAAATAAAGGAAACGAAATCCTGAAACCTGAAGCTCTTCCAAGTCTTAGAATATGTTCATGGCTTTTTAAATATACTTAATTCAGAAAAAATTCCGATTGTATTCCTTATATCTGACGACTTTACGTCCCAGCCACTAACAACTACAGAAATGGATCTCTAAAATCAGTCTGCAATACACTGCCTTAAAGCTATGTTCAACTTTCTTTACGCCGCAGCTTAACACAATAAATGCTCTGTCTAATTCTGTACTCATGGCACCTTCAAAATTTCATTTAACTTTCTGTCTTAAATTTTCACTAGAATTTGTTTTTCTTTACGTCATACATAGTTGACGAACTGATCCCATTTATTCACAGAATATCTTTACAGGTATTCTTTAATCTAACTTTTCCAGTAACTTCATCCTTTGAAATATATATAATACACTCATGTCCGTAAATTAAGGATAATGCAAAATCAGGCAAAGGAAGAGTTAGAAGCAAAACAAATTTGACTTATTTGTAAAGCTCATTTATTGAACAAAAGGTAAAGAGCAAAAAAAGATGCTATATGTTTGATATTATTAAAACAAATAGCGATTTTTTCTCCCTGGAGCAAATTACAGAAAAATCCTATTTACAAAAAACCAATATTACATGATTGGTATGATTGTTAATACATTGTATGTCTCCCAGACGATACAATACAGTCCGTACAACGCCTAGGCATGCTGAGTATCAAATTATCGATCTGATCTTGGGGGATATTACACCACTCAAAAAGCAGCTTTAAATGTGCGCTGTAAAGTTTCTGAGTGTTATTTCGACGGTAAATCTATTCGGAAATATGTTAAGTCCATGAATGTACCAGCCCCGGTATCAACCCAATAAAATTTGCTAGTCGTTACGTGCACTTTGACCACGAAAAGTCCGAAATCTTTGCTGAGCATCTGTCAAGTCATTTCAGCCCTAACACCTGTCCAGCTGATATCGGTTCGGTCCAGAAGGTTATGGAATATATCAGCGAATATTTAAATTCACCCAGTGTAATGAACAATGCAAATATGGCTTCTCCGCACGAGGTGAATGCCATCATTAAATCGCCAGAAAGACTCCCAGTAAATATGACATTAATAACAGGATGCTCAAAAACATTCTATTTAAAATTATTTGTAAATTCACGGGTATTCTTAATGCTTGCTCGTACAATAACTACTTTCCGCAAGCTTGGAAGCATGCAACTACTTTTCTGACTCCCAAGCTTGGAAAATCACATAAAACTCCTTCTAATTACAGGCCGCTAAGCTTTTTGTCGTCACTTAGCAAGATTCTAGGACGTTTGATTTACAATCGCATCAATAATGACCTCCAGTGCCTCGCTGATCATCAGTATGGATTTAGAAAGGAACGTTCTATGTGTATGTAGCTCGTTCGCTTCAAGGCTTTTGACCGTGTCTGGCATTCAAGTCTCACATATAAGCTGATCAAGTTGGAACTGCCTCGTAGCCTGGTTCTGCTGATTAAATTCTTCTTGGAAAGACGCACCTTCGACGTTAAACACGGAAATGAGATTTTCAGCGTTAAAAGCATACATGCAGGCATTTCTTAAGGCTCTTACTTGGGGCCGATATTTTACATTCTGTATGTCAGCAAGTTCTACAGTTTTAGAGACCACCACAAAAAGCTCCTGGCTTGCTATGCCGACGATACGGTTGTTGCTGTTAAATCCAGATTGCTAAATCACGCCTTGTCAAAATACAGCCAATGATTCCCCCATTGAGAAATGCTATAGCAAATGAAAAATCAGCGTCCAACCTGATAAATAAAACATTCTGCTGCTTAGGGAATACCGCAAAACTACAACTATCACAAAAGATGTAAGCCTGTTTGGTACCCTGGTTCCTAGAGTAGACAGAGCGAGTTATCTGGGGTTTACCTTTAATAGGCATTCACCTGGTTCACTCACATGGCCAAAGTATGTGGAAAGGCATACGGAATAATGTTCAAACTTTTCCCACTGCTTAAAAATGATCAGCTTTCTATCAATTTGAAGAGAAGACTCTACATCGCAGCTATTAGGTCTATTATTACATATTTATGCGTCTCCCGTCTGGAATACTGCCAGCTAGAAAGACTACAAACAACTTCAGGTGTTCAAAATAAGGCTCTTAGAATTATCACAGATGCCCCGTATTTTATAAGAAACAGAAGCTTGGACTAATATCTAAAATATAATCAATCAAGCATGTCATAATACGGATTAATGGAAGATTTTATGAGCAAACTCTAAGAAATAACCCAGTAAGTTTCGCAGAAATCCTAGAGTATGACATTCTATTGGAAGATAACTTTTTACGCCCTATGCTGCTCATTTGCTGCATACTACACTAAACAATCAAGGATGAACAATGAGAAAGCAGACTTTCCTAGTGCTTTTACTAATCAGTTTGATATTGTGTTTTTGGAAATACGGAAATTCTAAGAGACTGCCAGCATCGATACCAACCAGTCTCCAGACCTCCTCGGTCTTCAATTTAGGAGCAAAGCGCTTCAATATGTTCTCTCCTCGTCAGGTATTTATCTCTTATGGAGAATTTTCTTTGCGATCACATCACAGGTCAGGCCCTAATGGGACTCTCTCAATAATTGGCGAGAGCTGGGAAAAGTATCACCTGCTGTAGGTCAGTTTACCGACCAAGTATCAAAGTATCAAACTGAGTGTTATTTATCGTTGAGATTTGATGTAGCGAGCTGATGTTAGTCAAGAATGCCTTTAAGAAGACGAAAAAGATATTATCAACAGCTCAGTGCGGTTGAACGAGGTCGTGTAATAGGGCTACGAGAAGGTGGATTTTTTACTGCGATACTGCAGAAGGACTTCGCAGGAATGTATCCACTGTGCATGACTTTTGGCAGCAGTGGTCAAGGGAAGGAACTGGCTGAAGAAGGCTGGGTTCCGAGCTGCGACGTAGCACTACTGAGACGGAAGACCGCCGTGTGGCTGTGGCGCATCGTACTGCATCTGCAGCAGAAATTCCAGCTGCAGTTGTCATCAGAGTGACACAATGAACTGTTACAAATCGGTTACTTGGAGGACAACTCTGAGCAAGACGCCCTGTACTTTGCATTTCACTGACTTCAAACCACTGCCTTTTAGCGATGTCAAGCGAGAGCTCACTGGAGAACGGTATGGAGATCTGTTGTGTGTTCTGATGAAAGCCGATTCTGCCTTGGTGCCAGTGATGGCCGTGTGTTAGTTAGAAGGAGGCCAGGCAAGCGCCTCCAACCAACATGGCTGCGGCCTAGATACACTGGACTTACACCTGGAGTTATGGTCTAGGGAGCAATTTCGTATGACAGCAGGAGCACTCTTGCGGTTATCCCACACACTATGATTGCAAATTCGTACGTCAGTTTGGGGATTCAACTTGTTTGTTCTTCGATTCATGAGCAGCATTCAAGAAAGTGTTTTCCAACAGGATAAGGCTCGCCCTCGTGCCGCTGTTGTAACCCAACATGCTCTACAGACTGCTGAGATGTTGCCTTGGTCTACTAGATCACCAAATGTTCTCCAGTCGAGCACATATGGGGCATCATTGGACGACAACTCCAGCATCATCCACAGCTAGCATTAACCATCCCCAACCATTGACCGACCTAGTGCAACAGGCATGAAACTCCATCTCACAAACTGACATCCAGCACCTGTACAACACAGTGCATGCACGTTTGCATGTTTGCATTCAAAATAATGGCGATTACACTGGTTAATAATGCACTAGCACTTCACATTTAAAATATGGCTCTTCTCGAGCTTCCATTTACCTGTGATCTTGAAAATTAAATCAATTAAATATGTTACCTAGATAAATATATTGCCCAAATTTCATTACTCTCAATTAATTTTTTCTTGGTGCTGGGATTGATTTTTTTTTTTTTTTCCATCAGTATATAAAACCACACTTTATTTCTTGTTTCAATTTATATGATGTTTTTTGTTTCGCTTTGTCTTTCTCATTAATAATGCAGATTTCTTTTTTACCAAACAATTCTGTTCAGAATTTTAGATGCCTGAGCTTTTCTCGAAAGGAACCCCGAATCTTTAGCAAGAAACTAATTCCTAATTCAGGAGTTCCTTATTCTTAAGAAAGCAGAAAGTTTAGACAATCACTTTCAATCTAATTAGTACTTTTCAAGCCGTTTAAAAGTTTCGTAATTCACCAATGTAATGTGAATTTATTTAAGCTTTTTAATGGCATTTAATTTGTTAATTTTTGTGTTTTTATTTAAAGAATGTGCATATTATTTTTTCTAGTTTTTTTTTTTTTTTTTTTTTCCAAAGCAGGAAAGACTGATTTCTTTAGTTTCTTTTCGATTGGGCCTCTTTCATTTTTTACTATAAATTCCAGATATTCTCTCGTACTAGAGAACTGGTAAATTGTTTATATCAGATATTGTCAGCTGACATTGATCCTTAAAAAGCAAATTGTAGAAATTTTTACGTCTGTAAATTTAAGTTATTAGTGGTTTATTTGCTACTAATAAATGTTTTGATAAATTATTCATTTATTTGTGTATTTTACAATTTTATAACTAAACAAAACTCGCTCCGTTATAATTGAAAGGCTAGCTAATTAACTGTGCAGTTAAATAGGGAGTTAAGCCACAGGGCTGGACTTCACATTTTTTATGCTATGATTCAAAGCATGAAGCCATGATCAGTTTTATTGAAATAACCTATTCTTAAAACATTATGGAATAAAAAAAACTGCTAGCATAATTTCGTGTTCCATGATATGTAAATATATATATTTAGCTTATATATTGTATATATCTTACCATAAATCCAGGAAACAGCTATAGCTTCAAAGAAAACTGCAAATAATATCGAATATCCAGCAGAATATCTGTCCAACAGAGCAACAACATATGCTCCACCCTAAAAAAAGGGCAAAAAATAATAATTTGAAAGTAAATATTGATGAGAAATAATTACATTGATTAGTTTCTGGCTAACTCTTTATTCAGACATAAGGTGGCTGTGGTTTGGACTTTACCTTTCCATTAATTAAAATGCAAACACTCATTAACTCAACATCAACAAAATCCTATCGAAGTAGGCAGGACTTATTTATAAAATTTAAAATTATAAATTACTTAATGTATTTAAAAGGAAAGAAGTCTTAATTGTTATAATGTTTTCTTTGGAAAGCTTTACTTTAAACATAAAGGTTAAACATTCACAGAAAGTTAAAAGCTTAATTTGCTGAATACAAGTACATAAGCATTAATTTAAACTACCTGCACTTCAGTGTCACCCACACTGAAACATGAATTTTCTATTACTTTTTATTTTATTAAATCATATTTTGAGCTTGATCTCTCAAACCCAGAAAGGAAGCACTTAAAAGCTCTCATATGCCGCAGTTTCTTTCTTCTGGAGCCGCTTCAGATAAGTCATAATAGTACAGACTTGAATGTTGTTATAGAATAGTCGATACAGTTGTTAGTTTAAAGAAAGCATGCAGTTTTTCTTTAATTATTTTCCAAGATCACATCAGATTAATTACGGAACCTACTATTTATAGAACAATACGCCCGAAGACATATTGTTTTGAACTTCGATTAGATAACTGGTTTTGCTGGAGATTAGAAGTTCAGATTTTCTCATTTCACTTTTTTCGAATACTTTGCTCAGCGTGCAGATGGTAAAGAAGCATGGTAGGCTTGGCTTTTCTCTTTTTTAATACAACGGCAAGGTACTTACGTATTAACGGAGAAGGATTGGATAATTTTGGCGGTAATTAATACAATTAATACTTATTTTATTTATTATTTATTTATTTCGGTTTATAACGGCTTCCCAAAAGGCGGAATAATTGCCCGTTCCATTTTTGATATTTTCACTGATTGCATGTAACAAAGTCGCATTTTTTCGGTCGGGCATTGTAAGAAGAAAGGTTTCTTTAGTTTTCCTGCAAATGCCGCTTAAAATCAAGTGAGGCGGCAGCACGCTGCCAACATTACTTTTTCTTCTCGGGAATAGGCTTTCATCAGTCTCTACAATTAAGCCTTCATCACCTATTTTTTTTATTTTCGTGACACTACATCTCGTAGACGTACATTTCTCTTAAATAATTGTTTCAGTCTGTAACAGTAGTATCACCTATATTGTGTTCTTTGTAATTTTTTTTTATTTATCACCTTAAGTCAGAAGCCAGAAGCAGGCTTCTGACCTAAGGTGTGTAGCAAACAGAATAGTGCCTGCTCAGCGGAAGATCTACTACAATCCAGCAGCAGTCAACCTCTTAGTAGGGCTGACAGATCTAACGACACTTTTTTTTAAACAAAATCAGAAAGTACATAGAGTAGTAGTGTTACATAAACAATGACAACTTGCGTTTATATGCTACAAACAATTCAGAGTTATAAGTAGATACTTAATATAATAAAAAAGTTGCTGATTAGATTTTACAAGTAAGTACTTAATATAATAAAAAAAAATAATATAAAATAAATAAATGAAGAAATAAATAATATAAATACACAATAAATAATATATATATGAATGCATAAAATAAATAGAAATAACAAATAAATAAATGAAGAAATAAAAAAAAAGCTTTATGCAATTATTACTTGGCTAGTTCATTGCAGAATTGCAATACTTCATTGAATGAATTCATTACAGAATACCAATGTCAGTTTAGTAAGAGCTCCCTTAGTTTTTAATATATGTGAAGTCCATTGTTCCCATTGATCAGATGGCTTGCTCAAGTGAAGAGATTTCGTAAGACAAAAGTAAAAGGTATAATGGTCTGGAGTTCCTTTGCTGGCCACATTCACAAGTGTCCAGTTCTGTAATACCAAACCGATGAAGATATGTTATGAAAATCCATGGCCTGAAAGAAAGGTTGTCAATGCAGAAGAAAATGTAAGCATCTTAGTAGAGACATGGAGACAAAGACGAAACGTCTGTCTTCCCGTTGTTACAATATTCCATCTGAGTTGCTAGTGTTTTATTAAGTGCTTGTAAATAATCCTTTTAGGAAAGGTACTTGGCAAGGGCAAGGGATGTTCCGGCAAGTTCGTGCCAGTTGCTGCTTTCTTGGCAAGTTCTTCAGCAAGCTCACTGCGAACTATGTCCGTATGTGCTTTCACCCAATATAACCGTGGACGAAATTCTGACGTTATGATGAGAAGTAATTTTTGTATTTCTGTGACTACCGGATTTCTGAAATTTATACCACCAGTTACCTCCAACTAGATAGAGAGTCACTGCGTATATGGGCCTGTGTTCCAAATCAATAGAAGAGTTGAAGTGCTTTCTTTATTGCCGTCAATTCAGCTTGAAATATTGAGTTATGCTTACTTAATCTTCTTTTTCCAAGAGTATTTCAGACATCATTTAGCATGACACATAGATCACAGCCTGTGCCTGCCTCAGTACGTGAACCATCTGTGTAAATGGCAATGTAAATGTTCGCGATGCAAAATTTCATTGATGTCATTTCCACCGTTTCTATGTATTTCGAGCACCGCATTGACTCGAATCAAATGGAACGAAATCAGAACATTGATTATTCGACAGTACATTATAACGCTTGTAAGAAACTAATAGCATCACCTTCGATATTTAGTAGATTCCACAAACCCGTGATAGAACTATAAATCTCGAAACAAATTCCGTTCGTAAAACTGCGGTTTATAGGCGGTTTTAAAACCTAGCGACGATTGTAGCAGCGATTAATTATTTTGTGGTGCCAAAGTTGGCAACTATTCCTTCTTTTCTGATGAATTTTGAGTTTTTGTCCACTAATACTAACAAACAAATCATCCGATAACAAATACTATTTCAGCTATTTGAAATACTCAAGATAAATGATACTATCGCCAGGAAATACTTTAATATCATAATATTTTGATATTTGAAGTCTTCCGTCTCTGCTGAAGCCAGTACATTTCTCATTATACAGGACTCAGAGGGAAAAATGATTTCGGAGCACAGTTGGGCGAAATTTAATTGCAATTTCGTGGTTACTTTAGAATCCTAATTTAATTCGTTCAGAGCTTCTTTCGAATTTCAAGAGAATTTTCCTCTTTTAAAATACAGAAATTTAATTTAATTCTTTTTCGGGCTCAAAGAACTGGAAATTTCAAAATGATTTTAATGGTCAATACATTGGTTTATAAGATAAAATATCAAAACGTAATGACAATATTTGAATAAAAATTCAAATTAGTAATGTTAAAAGCATAAAAACCTGTATTTACTTTAAATATGATCGATACTGGCGCATGTGGAAGTTGGAGCAGGAGAGATTATTGCTTGAAATGTGAATCACCATCCACGATAACATCGCACAGTTACATTTGTGGTGGTTTTGATATTTCTGCTAAAGAACTATTTCTAAAAGGGTCATCAGTTATGATATCTTTCGGAAACCAACGTTCCAAACTAAAGTGATGTTGGACACCTTTTAGAACTTTTTCTAATATATTCAATGATATTATTACTGAATAAGTCAATACACCTCGTGACAAGAGCTTTATTAGAGTACCACTCTCAACAACTGTCTGGATTTTTAACAGCAAGCTGTGATCTCTGATTTCAGTGGTGGGACATGTAACGTTTTCCTCAGCTGCTGGTTGTGGTGCTGAAGTTCATCCGTTGTCAGCTAAGTCCTGTGATCACTCACTAACCCGTTGACATCCTCTTTATTGAGATCCAAATTTATGAATTTACCAAGAATATGATGTCAGGAACAAGAAATAGTTCCTAAAAGCTTTTAAAGCTCATTTTAGCAATATATGTAGGCCAAAGAATTTTCTAGGCTGAGTTCGATGATTCTTAGGTAATGAAGAATATTATAATGACCTTACTAGAACTCTCCAAGGGTCCGTTCCGTTTCATTTGTAACTTCAGAACACCTCTTGAACATAATTTTAGCGTATAATGTTTTGAAGAATTTTTTGAAGTTAGAAATCCCTTCTAGTGTGTGAACTGGATAATAAGAGTGGGGTCAGCGAGTAATGTTTTATCTCGTTGAAGCTGTATTACATTACATAATAAAAGCACTGCAAGCAGTGTTTGTTAGAACTTTAATAAATCTTAATCGTAAACTGCTTAATCGTAAATACAGAAAATTTGAAAACATCGGTCACTTTTATGTTTTTATACACCTGATATCTTAGGAATATTTCTTAATTTTGAGATTCTAATTTATCAAGATTTAAGCTATGTTGCAAAAGAAGAAAATCTTAAAATTACATTTCAATCTGAATACTATAAAAAAGAAATTATTTACCTGAGTACAGCTTGGTAGACCTACAAGAAAGTAAAATGTAAAAAGAATAGCCACGAACAATTCTCTATGATTTTTTAGCAGCGGATATTCGTCACTTAAAGCTGTTATGATAGCTTCTGAACCTCCAAACTGAAAAACCAAAGGCAAAATAAAATATTCCACTCAACCCCACAACATAAAATGTATATTCAACTAATATTAACACTGAAACAGTATATTGTGATCACATTTATTTTTAAACGTTGATTTTCTATTTTCCTATTTTAATTTATTTCATTAACCAGAAGCTTTTAGCTCTGATTTACTAATAAAATTCTTTGTTAGAGGAAGATCTAACAAATACCTAATTTATTTGATTACAACAAAGCTTTGCTATCTGCCTGAGAAGAGGGATGCCTTTGTGGAGAACTTACTATGGATAATATGCTCGGATCCACGTTATACATTGGGAAATCCACGGAAACGGCCATGCGGGCAGCCCATTCGCCTGGAATCGAATCCATGTAGAATTGCCAGTGTGCATCGACTTTATCGCTCGGTCGGTATCGAAGTATTGGTACTTAGATATTAATGCAGCCACCTTAGTATATGTCGCCAAACTCTGGCAGCCAGTTTTAATGATCAACACTATTAGTTTAGCATGCTTTGCTTTTGTTGTATTCGAATGGCTTTTATAAAAGAAATCCTGATATTTTTGGTCTTGAAATGAGTTTTAAAATTTTCGCTTGTAGGCTCTGCACGCAATGAAAGAAATTGCTACAAAATCGTTTAAATGGAACAATTTGCCTTGAATACATTCTTAAAACTATAGTCATAAATTTTCCACTAGAAAGAGACAAAAGCTCTCTGGTAGTTTATTGATTGCTTTTTCGGAAAAATAGTTAATTAAAACGTAAAGAATAAATATGTAATAATATGTATACATGCCATAAATTTGCCTGCTAATTTAGTACGTCATCTTTTCCTTTTGTAAAAAATCGGCAGATTGTACCAAGGTTGTTAGTATATATGTAATTGAGTAAGTACGTTAATAAGTAAGTACAGAAGTATTTGATGCAATGTATTAGAAATATTTTTTATCCGTCAAAGCAATAAGACAAGTGTTTTAGAAAGCTATCGGTTTGATATATTTTTGAAAGAGATTATAAATCTGATCAATTAACGATAGTGTTACAAATAAAATAAAGATATATAACTGAGAAATACACTATTAAATCGCTCTATTAGTAAATAATATATACTTTCAGTTTGAGAGACAGGTTAAAATATTTTGCCATGTCAAATGACAGCGCCTTTGAGACATAGTAGCTTACAAAGTATCGTGAACGGTAACTTAAAAATTTTATACTCTTTGATATGGTGATACTTTACCAGGCTATATGTAATATAAATGCCTTTCCAAAGTAACGAGACATGAAAAATACATAACGGATAAGGAATATTGGAAAATTAAACTGTGAAAGTTTTTAAAGTCCTATAAAACGTGTCTAAGTCACGAAAAGTGCACTTATAATCTTTTTGTTCAATTTTTTTACAATAAAACATGGTACATAATTTTTGGCAGTGCAGTAGAGCATATAGTTATGTAAATTATATCGAAAATTACTATGGAAACATATTAAGTTTTTCAGAAAAGGAAATAATAATTAACTGCGCTTTCGCCAGGTAATCGAACTTTGATCATAAACTAATAAACCTAGTAATAAACTAATGAATCTCGAACTAATATATCTCAGAAATACAGATTCATCCTTACTGAAATAATGAATAAGATTTATTATTCATAAATGATGAATAATCCATGAATAGTGATAAACTAATGAAACTAAAAATGCAAATTCATTTAAAGATTAACTTCTCTTTTTTTCAGTGAATCTTAATGAAAGAGATTTTATAGAAATTTCGTCAACTGGGCACAACAGACTTTTACAAAGGTTATGAACAGAGCTTATAAACATCTTTCAATGATATAGTTTTTGGATAACATAGGAACAAACATAGCTATGTAAAAGAAAATTCAAAACAGAAAATAATATTGTGATATTTAAAAAACATTTATTAACTTTTAAAAACTTCACATTTGACAATTTAGATTTGTAAAGTGCAGAATAATGCAAATACTTTTTTATAATTACTTACAGAACTGTCTAGGCCAAGGGTGAGCAGCATCAGAAAAAACATTACAGACCAGAATGAAGATCCGGGCATGGTTGCGATGGCCTCTGGGTAAACAATGAAGACTAGACCGGGACCTAAGAACAAAACATATTACATATGGCAACAAAAAATGATAGTCATTTTTATAATGTATTTGTAAGCGCGTTTTTATTAATTAGGTGCTTTTGAGTTGCATGTAAAGCGAAAATAATATAAACCGAAGAGGTGCATTACGAAAAATGGCTTATATTCAGTTGAGGATGCGTTTGATGTCGATGACTGCCGGCACCTCATTAAAAAAAAAATACATTCTCCTTATAAATATTGTTAACAGATGATTGTTGCATTTAGGAGTTATCATCTCTATAATTATCGTCAAATGTCTCTAATCTTGTACCTCCAACTGAGGATTTACCCAAAATTTTAACTCTAGATCAGGGTTCCCCGACCCTTTTCTTGCATCGATCTTCTTTCAAAGGATGGTTTTCTTCACCGATCTGCTACATTTTCCTGTATATTACATGGCATACAATGTAATCATAATACAAATAACTGCACATAAATCACTTAGCGATAACAATTAGAATATAGAAAAGCGTTTAGAAAAAATAATTTATCATATTTATATTTTTCCTTATTTTATTTTTTTTTAAACTTTGTTTAAAGTATTATCATTACTTTTTTATTTTTCAAACAGAAAGAAGTTTTCAGAAACAGAATCAGGAATTTTAATTGCACAAATGGCCGATTTTAATGAACGCAATCGTTCCGTTTGATATATTGATGGACATGTTGTTTGACTTCTGAATTAATATTGATGGAAGTTTTTTTTAATATTCGGTACAATACTGCTGAACGCAATTTTTAAATGACCTAGTTAAAAAATATTCCTTTTTCTTTTTTCCTCTAGTCAATTACTGACTTGCCTGAAGCCTGCTTTCATTAGGTAAAAAGAGGAAATATTCAATAATGTTCTCTCGAATGACTTTTAAACTCCAAACTTTAGCTTTCCTGTGAATTTTGAATAAAATCTGGTTTGGCTTAGTTTATTATTGCAAAGCACACTAAGGCTATCTGCCAAAGAGGAGGGATGACTTCGTGGAGGACTTTCTGAGGGAAACTGGCTCCTGTACACGTTACACATGGAGAAAACCACGAAATCGCCAATGTAGCCCTCCCGTTTGCCCGTATTCGAACCTCGGTCGGAAGCGTTCGGCGATTTTATTGCTCGGCCGCTGGTAGGCCTAAATAAATTTCGAATTTGTATGATATAGCTTTATATTGTTACGGATTTGGTATTTAAAGAGCTAATGTTAGTTGCATTATAAATTAAATTGTTTTATTCCCCGTGCAGTGTAGAACGTGACGAATATTAAAGGAAAGCTAAGCCGGAAAATTAAAAATACAAGAGCACGTGCGTTTAACATTTAATAAATAAATAAATATCTCTTTTTGATTTCGAGAAAGTTCCAGAAAGTTCTCGCGCGCGATTTAAAAATCTCATAAAAAGGAGGAAAATTTCTCAATTCGGTCAGTCAGTTAGTTAGTTTGTTGTTGTTTTAAGAGTTTTTCTTAGAAAACTGCTCTTGTTCACTGGAGCGAATTCTCGGATTAGCTTTCTTTAGCTGTTTTGAATTAACTTCTATTGAACGTTTGAGTAGTTAAAAGATAACTTCTGTGAGATATTGTAATTCTGCACGAATATCTGAGAAAATTTAAGCATTTTTGTTGTGATAATAATAAATTTTGTTCATTTTTCACCGGACTTGTGCATTCATTTCGCAACGAAACCGTACGCACGCAACAATATCTATAAAAATTTATTAAGAATTATATTAATAATTTTTAGATGATGTTTAGCAGTTGCCGGTGCATATTTCGCTATCGACTCTCAGTCAGCCTCTGTGATCAACATTGATCTCCTTTAAAATTTTATTGACCCTCAGGTGATCATTTGGAACCCCTGCTCTAGATATACCTCCAGTTAATTAAATTTTCAAGTCTACTAACTATGAAATATGCATTTGTTACTATGATTAGAAATCAAAAGTAAAGATAACAATTAAAATTACTATAAAGCATTCGTAAATTTTTAAATGTAACTGTTGCTAAAAGCATACAAGTTGTTCAGGAACGCGCACGAACTCAGTTAATACGCAATAATTTAATATTATGTTTATTATAATTTAGATTTTTTTGTGGCAACAGTGATGTTTTGTTATTTATTACTTTGAGCGTGATAACGCATGGAATGTTATTCTTTTTGTAATATTTAGAATGCTAAATAAAATAGTTCATTGTTAATAAAAAAAAGGTTTTTCTCTGCTAAATATATTACCATTCGTCCGAAGGGTGCTACTTTGGTAGACAGTTGCACGGATTTTGGCGAGTAATACGACTTATGGTAAACCCATTGCTGGATAAGTTATTTATGGTAACCGATGCTTTGTTGACATTTTATTTAAAAAATAATGCGTGTTATTATGCATAAATTCCGTGGGTGCTACTTTGGTAGACGGTTGCACGGATTTTTGGCGATTTACGTTGGCCGAATTGTTGGCGCGATTTTTACAAACGTCAGCCATCTTGAAAAACGCTGTTTTTACGCATAGTAAAGTATTCGAAACTTAAAAAATAAATAAATAAATATCGTTAAAAGTAATGGATTAATTTTTTGTTGAAAATGTCGTTTTTTAAGATGGCAGGCAAGTGTAAATAAATACATTTACTATGAGTATAAAATACTAAAGTAAGGTTATTATTACTTTCATATAGCAAAAAAGAGAATAAAAACACCGCTATAAAAACATTGGGCCAACGTTTAATTAGATTAAAATATTACTGAAATTGAATATCGAATTAAAAACCATCATACCAACATTTAAAAGAATTAGAATATTATCAAATTCAAATACTTTAAAATACGCTATATAGAATATAATTAACATTAAAACATATGGACAATAATTATCTCAGCAATTTCTGAAAATAGTGTATTAATTTTTTTAACAAAAATTGAAGTATACAATTATCAAATAAAAGAAAAATATGTACTTACATTTTTTTGAGTGTTTAACCTGTTGTTTACTGATAAGTACCACAATAAAAAATCAGAATCATAATTTAGATAACATCTTTGAAGACATCTTTGAAGGAATTCGAAGATATAAATTAAATTTTAAAACGGCGCGGAAATGCACAAATTGTCAGTAACCAATCAGGGAGCTGATTACAGCTCGTTAATGCACAAATATTCTATAACCAATCAGAGAGCTTATTACATCACGGCTAGAATTAAAATTATTTAAAAATTCATACATAATAAAATCATTTTTAAAAAAAAAAATGCAAAATTAAATTGTATTTTAATATTTAACAGCCATAAATAATGTTTAAAACATTAGATTAAATTTATACATATTAAAACGAATTACTTTTAAAGTAAGGTGACGTCATTGATACATCATCCACAACATAAAATTTCATAAAATATGATAAACAATAAAATTTTTATTTCAAATAAAAATTCAAAATTAAATTGATTTTTAATATTTGAAAGCCATAAATAATATTTTAAACACGGAATGTATGCACAATAAAACGCATTATTTTTTAAATAAAATGACAACAAAGTATCGGTTACCATAAATAACTTATCCAGCAATGGGTTTACCATAAGTTGTATTATTCGCCAAAGGAAAATCGCCAAAAAATCGCCAAAATCCGTGCAACCGTCTACCAAAGTAGCACCATTCCGTGTTTTAAATAGTATTTATGGCTTCTAAATATTAAAAATCAATTTAATTTTGCATTTTTATTTGAAATAAAAATTTTATTCTTTATCATATTTTATGAAATTTTATGCTGTGGATGATGTAATCAGTGACGTCACCTTACTTTAAAAGTAATTGGTTTTAATATCTATAAATTTAATCTAATGTTTTAAACATTATTTATGGCTGTTAAATATTAAAATACAATTTAATTTTGCATTTCTTTTTTAAAATGATTTTATTATGTATGATTATTTAAATAATTTTAATTCTAGGCGTGATGTAATCAGCTCTCTGATTGGTTTTAGAATATTTGTGCATTAATGAGCTGTAATCAGCTCCCTGATAGGTTGCTGAAAATTTGTGCATTACCGCGACATTTTAAAATTTAATTCATATCTTCGAATTCCTTCAAAAATGTCTCCTTCAAAGATGAATGTTGTTTTTGATAAGTGCCAAGAATTTTTGGTATCCGGAATCAAAAAATTGTCCTTTGAGACCTTATTTTCACCAACCTGGCTTTCCTAATCAAAGATTTATTTATAAATTCTTACAAGGGTCAGAGGAAATTTATTTTAAATTTTTGAAGGAAACGTCGCTAATTGTTTCTTCAATGAAGTGCGAAAATGTAGATCACAGATGAAGACTGTTAGAAGAGCCGATTCTGAGACGGCCGTATATGAATATTGTGATCATGTTGGAAGAAATAACCGCTGTAACGGTAAGAAAATTATTAGACATTCCTCCTTTTTTACCAACAATAAACTAATTGCTGTCATTTTAGCTCTAGTGTACGAAGCGTTCTTATTTACTTATTTTAAAGTATTTAATTTAAGTAATATTTTAATTCTTTTAAACGTTGGTATGATGGTTTTAATTCGATATTCAATTTACGTAATATTTTAATCCAATTAAACGTTGGCGCAATGTTTTTATAGTGGTATTTTTATTCTATTTCTATGCTATATGAAAGTAATAATTTAACCTTTCTTTAGTATTTGATACTCGTAGTAAATGTATTTATTCTATATATATATATATATATATTATATTCTATATAATGTATTTTAAAGTATTTAAATTTAATAATATTCTAATTCTTTTAAATGTTGGATGATGTTTTTTATTTCGATATTCAATTTCAATATTATTAATATTTTAATCTAATTAAACGTTGGCACAATGTTTTTATAGCGGTGTTTTTTATTCTCTTCTTTGCTATATGAAAGTAATAATAACCTTACTTTAGTATTTTATACTCATAGTAAATGTATTTATTTACACTTGCCTGCCATCTTAAAAAACGACATTTTCAACAAAAA